ATGATGAAATACAGAGTAACAGTGTGCAGACTGATGTTGCCAAAGTATCCTCACTTGCCTATTGATCTCGTTATATGTCCTCCAAAGTCTTTCTATATGGTCAGTGCGATCGTATCTATTTCAACTGTAGGCATGTCAGATGATAGAATTCAGAGCCACAGTGTATACATAGTCGAAGTTTCTTGTTCTCCCTGTTTCATGCGTCATTCGCGTTTTGATGTCGTCTCAAATGATCGTTGCGAACTGATATGCTCCAAGCATATCCATGTCAGATGATAGAATACAGAGATACAGTGTGCGGACTGATGTTGTCGAAGTATCTTTATTTGCCTATAGTTCTCGTTATAAGTTCTTCAAAGTCGTCTGATATGGTCACTGCGATCGCATCTGCTATAACTGTAGGCATGTCAGATGCTAGAATGCAAAGTTACAGTGTAGACATAGTCGAAGTCGAAGTTTCTTGTTCTGTCTGTTGTGTGCGTTATACCCGATTTGATGTCGTCTCATATAATCGTTGTGAACTACCATGCTAGAAAGGTATCCATGTGAGATTGTGAGATGTTACAATACAGAGATATAGTGTGCAGACTGATGTTGAAGTATCCTCACTTGTCAATTGTTCTCGTTATATTTCCCTCGAAGTCGTCTTATATGTTCAGTGCGATCGTATCTGCTATAGCTGTAGGCATGTCAGATGCTAGAATGCGAAGTTACAGTGAAAGCAAAGTCGGGGTCGAAGTTTATTGTCCTGCCTGTTGTGTGCGTTATACTCGCTTCGATGTCGTCTTATATAATATTCGCGAACTCATATGCTCCAGAGGTATTCATGTGAGATGATAGAATACAGATATACGGTGTGCGGGTTGATGTTGTCGAAGTATCTTCACTTGCCCATTGTTCTCGTTATATGTCCTTCGGAGTCGTCCTTTATGGTCAGTGCGATCGTATCTGCAATTATTGTAGGCATGTCAGATGCTAGAATGTGAAGTTACGGTGTAAACATAGTCGAAGTCGAAGTTTCTTGTTCTTCCTGTTGTGAGCGTTATTTTAATTCAGGAAATACTAGACAATGTCAACCTATAAGATGTATAACCGACTCATCATCAACATTGATAAATTCGAAATTTTGGCGAACACGCCGGTTTACCGACTCTTGATTGTTGGAATCGAAGTTTTTAGTAGATATGAAAAAGTATAGTACTCCACTCGAATATAATGAGCTGTCATATATACTCCTTGAATAGGCATTTAAGATGCTAGAATGCGAAGTTACAAAGTAAAAAAAGTCGGAGTTTCTCGTTCTGCCTGTTTTGTGCGTTTTACCCGCTTCGATGTCGTCTCATATGATCGTTGCGAACTTATATGCTTCAGAGGTATCTATGTGAGATGATAGAATACAGAGAAACAGTGTGCAGACTGATATTGTCGAAGTATCTTTCCTTGCCTATTCTTCTCGTTATAAGTCCTTCAAAGTCATCTCATATGGTCAGTGCGATCGTCAGATTCTAGAATGCAAAGTTACAGAGTGAACAAAGTCGAAGTCAAGATTTCTTGTTCTGCCTGTTGTGTGCGTTATACCCGATTCGATGTCAACTCATATGATCGTTGCGAACTACCATGCTTCGAAGGTATCCATTTGAGTTGATAGAATACAGAGATACAGTGTGCAGACTGATGTTGTCAAAGTATTTTCTCTCGCCTATTGTTCTCGTTATATGTCCTTCGAAGTCGTCTTATAATATGGTCAGTGCGATCGTACCTGCTATTGTTGTAGGCATGTCAGATGCGAGAATGCGGAGTTATAGTGTAAACATAGTCGAAGTTTCTTGTTCTTCCTGCTGTGAGCGTTATTTTGATTCAGGAAACACTAGACAATGTCTACCTATAAGATGTATAACCGACTCATTATCAAGATTGATAAATTCGAAGTTCTGGCGAACACGCCGGTTTACCGGCTCTTGATTGTTGGAATCGAAGTTTTCAGTAGATCTGAAAAAGTTCTACTCGCATATAATGAGCTGCCATATATACTCCTTGAATGGGCATTTCAGATGCTAGAATGCGAAGTTACAAAGTAAACATAGTCGAAGTCGAAGGTTCTCGTTCTGCCTGTTGTGTGCGTTTTACCCGCTTCGATGTCGTCTTTTATGATCGATGCGAACTGATATGCTCCAGAGAAATCCATGTGAGGTGATAGAATACAGAGATACAGTGTGCAGACTGATGTTGTCGAAGTATCTCCACTTGCCTATTGTACTCGTTATATGTCCTTCGAAGTCATCTTATATGGTCAGTGCGATCGTATCTACTGTAGCTGTAGACTTGTCAGATTCTAGAATGTGAAGTTACAGTGCGAACATATTCGAAGTCAGAGTTTCTTTTTCTGCCTATTGTGTGAGTTATAACCGCTTCGATGTCGTCTTATATGATCGTTGCGATGTGATATGCTTCGGAAGTATCCATGTGAGATGATAGAATACAGAGATACAGTGTGCAGACTGATGTTGTCGAAGTATCCTCACTTGCCTATGAATGTCGTTATATGTCCTTCACAGTCTATCTTTATGGTCAGTGAGATCGTATCTGTTTCAACTATAGGCATGTCAAATGCTTGAATTCAGAGCCACATTGTGAACATAGTCGAAGCGATGTTTTTTGTTCTCCCTGTTGTATTTGTTATACCCGTTTTGATGTCGTCTCATATGATCTTTGCGAACTGATATGCTCCAGAGGTATCCATGTGAGATGATAGAATACAGAGATACAGTGTGCAGACTGATGTTGTCGAAGTATCTTAACTTTCCTATTGTTCCCGTTATAAAACGTTCAAAGTCGTCTTATATGGTCAGTGCGATCGTTAGATGCTAGAATGCTAAGTTACAGAGTGAACATAGTCGAAGTCAGAGTTTCTTGTTCTGCCTGTTGTGTGCGTTATACACGATTCGATGTCAACTCATATGATCGTTGCGAACTACCATGCTTCGAAGGTATCCATGTGAGATGATAAAATACAGAGATACAGTGTGCAGACTGATGTTGTCGAAGTATCTTCACTTGCCCATTGTTCTCGTTACATGTCCGTCGAAGTCGTCCTATTGGATCAGTGCGATCGTATCTGCTATAACTGTAGGCATGTCAGATGCTAGAAGCTTCGATGTCGTCTTATATAATAGTTGCGAACTCATATGTTTCATTTGTATCCATGTGAGATGATAGAATACAGAGATACGGTATGCGGACTGATTTTGACGAAGTATCTCCACTCGCCTATTCTTCTCGTTGTATGTCTTTCGAAGATGTCCTATATGGTCAGTGCGATCGTATCTGCAATAATTACTGTAGGCATGTCAGATGCTAGAATGCGAAGTTACAGTGTAAAAATAGTCGAAGTAGAAGTTCCTTGCACTTCCTGTTGTAAGCGTTATTTTGATTCAGGAAACACTAGACAATGTCTACCTATAAAGGCCCTGTCTCACGGTCCAACAATTTGATCAAACTGCAGATCTGTGATGTCATCAATGACGTCACGTCAAACAGCACCTGAAATTTAGAGCATGTTCTAAATATTGACAGGTTGGATCAAACAATCAGGTTAGGATTTCTGTTTTCATCGTTCATTATTTTTTATATTTGGAATTAATTGAAAATATTATCATTAATATCACGTATCTTATCAGTAATTCAAAAATGTCTGCTGGTACTGGTAATTGGACTGAGGAACAGGTCACCTACTTGATAGATTTATACCGAGATAAAGAGTTTCTGTATAATATCAGACACAAAGATTACCACAAAAGGGACAAAAGGTCAAATGCCCTTAACGAGATTGCTCAAAATTTGCAGCTGATACGGCCAAATTCAACTGGTAAGTTCCATTTCTGGAGTAGTATTGTTATTTCATTGTATTTATTTTCACAAATGATTTTCTTGATTTCATCATGGAATCAGAAGTCAAAGCAAAAATCAATGTGTTAAGAACACAATTCAATAGGGAACTTCATAGAGTGAGAAATAAACCAAGTGGATCTGGAGCAGAAATGATTTAAGTAAAGTTATGGTGCTTCGAACACCTACTATTCCTCATGGACTCAACAGAAGAGCGGCAGTCCTATAACGATTTAGAAGAGAGTACAGCAGTTGATAATACCCAAGAAATTGAAGACAGTTGTGATGAAACAGAAAATCAGGACACTGAAGTGGTGGTATGTTGTTAACCATGTTGTAAAAAGAATATTATTTTATGTATTTCATTTCACTTGATAGGAAGAATTACCTAGTACAGCTAGTGTGAGTGTGAAGAGTCCTGAACCAGGGAGGGGAAAAAAAAGGAAAACTCTTCACGAGGGTACACAAGAATTATTATCAGAAATGACAAAACAGATAACCAAGATGACAGAAATAGAAAATAAGCCTCCTGATGATCTAGAGATATTTGGGAACTATATCATAACTGAAATTAGAAATTTCAAGTATGTTTCAAGTCAGAAAAAAGCAAAGAGAGCTGTTCTTCGTATAATCCATGATATACAAGATGAAGAAGATAGTGATACATAAAAATATATAAACCCACCATAGAACCTGATGTGAGTTGTATATTTTTGATTGTTTGAGACTGAGAAACCAAGAGATACGGTCAATGTACTGTTAATAAGCTTGAAGTCTTACCTGATTCAATGTTATTTCCTATTGTTTGATGATATAATACTTAGTTAAATGTTTATTTCTTATTATTCATCTTAAATGAATAACATATCGTGGGCGTACAAGCAGAATCACCTAAGTCCAGAAAATAATATAAGGAGAAAAACGCAATTGAATATTCGAATCAACCTGTAAAATTTGTTTCCATGAATAATCGATCTTGAACACTAAAGGTGATTTAGTATGCTATCTCTTAAGACACATAATTCAATAAAACAAACATTAAACAAAAAAAAGAATTTTTATTTAAGTTTTTTCACAACCAGTTTGTACTTAAAGTTTTTTTCCTGATCCATTTATTAATTTTTATGGACTAAGTGTACCAATGGCAGTTCATCATCAGAGTCACTGATGTCTTCTTCTTCACTATCATCCACACATGGCTCAGCAGATCGATCTAGCGCATTTTTTGAGGTAGGTAATGATTTATACCACCCATGGAATTCGACAGGAATTGATTGACTCCTGCATAATTTGAGGAGATCTTGTTGTGTTTTCAAACTTATTGGCAATTGTTTAGTGTATAAATTTTTCAGCTGCTTAGGATATGTCGGCCTTTTTCCATTTCCAAAAACATTGATGAATTTGTAGGGGCCATCGTGTACGTATTTGTATTCGATAACTCCTGGATTTTCTCTTGAATACTTTAAGCTCTTGATAAGTAACCAGTTAACAGTGTGTCCTTCGGTGTCTTTAGTTTTGTTTCTGATCAAAACTTCCGACAATGCTTTCAAATCGTAAAAGTCTGTGAACTTTAATTCTTGTACGTTGTAGGGCTCACTTTTCTTGTTTTTATTCCTTTTTGATCTGGCCAGTCTGAATATATTGAGCCAGTCATTTATTGTATAAACTGGTACAAATCGTTTGGCATGTTCAATAGAAATATGCATGGAATCCGCTTCCATATAGGAATGTCCACTTTCCAAAAAGTTGTGCTGAATAGTGTCAAGCTTTGAAAACTGTACCATATAGAGAAGCAGAGCTGCAACATGCTGATTCCGATTTTGTCCTCCACATGTGTCAGACCACATTGACACTTCCTTCACATGTGGAGGCAAATTCATCAGGTATAAATATAAACACGAACCTATTTCGGAACTGCCTCTTTTCCCATTCAATTCCGACCAGCAATAACAATAGGCATCATTCGGTGGGGCTGAATTGTAAATTGTAAGGTTGTACACGCAAATTTTTCTCGAGTAGTACATAGGGCTTACATCCGAGCAGGGAATTTGAAGTACTGACTGCAAATCGAAAGTTGAAGAGACAAAACTTTCATCATTAGTAGCTCGTACTTTGTCCTTGTTTTTAGCTATGTAGCAATCTTTTTTTCGCATCACATGACTCTCATAAATCTCATTATTGTTTGCCTCATTTTCAGCTGTTTTATGCCTCTCACAGATTGGACATAAATCTTTTTTAGGTTTGAAAAACGATAAGTTATAGTGCTCTCCAAAAATTCTTGTATAGGTTATAAATGTCACGAATTGTTTCTCTTCTGATTCACATTTTTCTTTGTAGAGACTGTACATCTTTGATATGGATAATTTACTGTCCAGGTAATCTTTCTTCGTAGTTTTGCGGGAATAGTGTGATCTTACTGTTGGAAAGCTCTCTATGTGTTCCTTAACAGCAGCAACTAGCTCAGGAGCGGTTTTATTTCCTGGTACAGATTTTCCACGTTTATCTTCTCCGATATAGGTGCCAGCTGGTCCTTTGTTTTGGAAGGCATTTTTAACAACATCACCACTTATATTGAGCGTTTTTAGAAAAAAAGCTTGACATATTCTCATTTTGTTTCTGTCTTTTTCGAAGTAGTACTGCTTAGAATTACTTCTGGGGCCTCTATTTCCATTTCGTTGTCTCCTCCTCTCTGGAGTAATGCTTGTAATATTGGAAAGAAGGAAATCTTTTTGTCTCTTAAAGTTGTTCATTCTCCAATATAGTGAACAGATAGCTTCCCTTTCGGCATCTGAAAATTTAGTCTGACATTTGAAACGACATTTTTCACAATTGACCGCTCGGGGTTTTTTAGGCGGTCTTTGCTTCTTATTAATCTCATAATTCAAACCATCACTTCTTCTCTTTTTCGCTATATTGCGTTTCCAATCACTAGGATGACTCCTTCTCCATCTTGTTAGCTGTTTGTTTTTTCTATTATCATTTTCCTCCTCTATAACAAAAATGGTGTAGAGAGTAGTTTTCTATAACAAATTCATTCTTTACCTTTTTCTGACTCCGAAGTATTACTTAAACTATAATCAGGATCTTGTACTGAGTCATCTTTGTCTTCATTCGACAAAAACTGATTTAATTCACTTGTTCTTTCTCTCGATGAGGTTGTCCCATATATTTGAGCAGTATCATTTCCAACTAGAATGAAAAAGAAATGTTTGCAATTGAGCTCGAATGGGTGTGGTTTGTGGAAGCAGAGGCAAGAGCATCAAATACAATTCAATAACCCGAAAATGTGTTCTGAAGTTCTTCTACTTACCGTTTTTTGTAGCATTAGGTGTATCAGAGTCCGAATCTCGGGATGGATAATTGCTGTCTTCATTCAACATTCGGTGAGACACGATTTTGGTGGATGTACTTTGCAATTTTGAGTCATCAATGGAACTTTCATGAGCCAAATCATTACCTAAAAACAAGCAGGAAATTAATCAATAGTTTTCGATCCCTTATCTTAAGAAACAATTAAGTCATAGTTGCAGGTACCACCACTAACAAGAAGAATCACCTTAGTCCAACCAAATACCCAATATCTATTTGAGATGAGAGAATGATGTATGTGTTGTATTTACTAGCATTCTTTCATTTTTAATGCATATATTAATTAGAAAGCCAAGATTTTAATGAACTACTTGCTCACCTGCACTTGATGTTTCACACATATTTTCACTGATGTTTCCACATAACAAGTTTTCATTATTGTTCATAGATTTTTCACAAGTGACCCTATTTTTATCTATAACATGGCTCACTTGTTCATTGCAAGCTAGAAAAACAATATTTTTTCCTCTGGAAGACATTGATACACTAAGGATGAGCTGTTACGATCGAGGTTACGATCCTACACCAAGAAACACTACACATCAAATGACAGAGTTACAGGTTTTTTCCTGTTCAGACTTGTCGAATATCGGTCAGTAGAAATTGAAAATCGTTTAAGTGCACTTGACCGATTCTGCATGTCAAAATTATAACGAAATTAGACTTAAGTGGATTTTCATTGACTATATCTCCGGAAACAAACGCAAAATGGACTTGAATGTTTATTTGCCTGGAGCGTTACGCTAATATGGACTTATGTGTGATAAATTCCTCATTTCCGAAAAAAGTGGACTTACAGGGTTCTGCTTGTACGCCCACGATATTATATTTCAATGACTATCAACAAACCTAAGTAGTGGTCTTGAAATGTTTTTTTTTATTTGTTGTTCTTGTATGTTGTGGTAGTTTTGAAAGTGATATTTGTTTTGTAATGAAATTACAGTTCAAAACATTATTATATGTTCCTGTCCTATGTCATTTCAGCAGTTGGAAAATAAAATATGTTTTTGTAAATTGTGGATTTTCCTGAATAAAACTCCAAATTCTACAAAAATTATAAGTACCTATTTATTGATTTGAGAAATATATAAATATTAGGGTGTTAATTTTTAGGCATTACATTTCCACCATTCTCTCTTGCCAAGGAACTGCCCCATTTCCATTGAAATATTCAGTTAACTCATTTCTTATTCTTTGTGCTTCATTTGGGGTTCTATTTCCAACATATCTTCTTGAGGCAGGATCTAGAGAACAAGTTTCAATTTCATCTATATCACTTATGTAGTGGGGGTTCTCTTGGCATAAAAAGTTATGCAATACAATACAGGTTTTTGTGATGAGTTCAAGTTTTTCTACAGAAACATTCATTGTTGTCAATAAAATTTGAAATCTGTTAGCAAGGATCCCAAATGCATTTTCCACAACACGTCGTGCCCTGCTTAAACGATAATTATATATCCTCTTTTCCTGAGTTAACCCTCTGTGCTGGTATGGTTTCATTATATTATTTTTCAGAGGAAAAGCATCATCTGCAACTATAACATATGGCAAAGGTTTTTTCCTGCCAGGAAGAGCTTCAGGAGGAGGGAAATTCATTGTCTCATTGAGTATTGCTTGTCCTAAAGGACTTCTAGTAAATACTCCACCATCACTTATCCTTCCATTCATTCCAATATCCACAACAAGAAACTTGTAACTGGAATCCACAAGAGCCATCAGTACTATACTATTGGTTCCCTTATAATTCCTATAGAAAGCACCATCAACTTTTAATGGACGAAATGTTATGTGTTTGCCATCAATGGCACCTGCACAGTGGGGAAAATTCCATCTCTGTGAAAATCCATTGGCAATCTGTTTCCAGTCATCTTGACTTCTTCGTACCTACAGAAAAAAATATGAACTCAACATTTGATATTGGAATATTTATTTTTAAATACACATACCTTCAAATAATCATTGGCCAGTTGGTTGCATAATGTGATCAACACTTCACTAATGATATTGCTCAATGTGTTGTGTGCAATTCTTGTTGAATAAGATAAATCTTTCAAAGTATTTCCTTTAGCAAAATATCTTAAACAAACTGCCAATCTAAAATGAAATAAAAATTAATACCTACATAGGATCATAGGATAAATATAGTAATATTTTTGTCTTGAAAATTCATGCTAAGTTGACCAGGGACTATTGTCATGATCTCACCTCATTTCTGCAGGTATACATTCACGCATATTCGTATTTGTCTTTTCAATATAGGGCTTGATTTTATTTAATAAAAAGCTGAAACACCTTTCATCCATTCTCAGGTAGTTTTGGAATCTATTGGGATCTTCCAGTCTGACTTCATCAAACAACATAGGTAGGACTCCTCTACCAATATTTCTTCTTTGAAGCCATTGTCTTGTCCATATTTCCCTCTTTTTTTTAATCACTCTCTGTACCACAAATACAGCACAAAATACCATATAATGAATTTTCATTCTATTTTTCTTTGTGATTTTTCCCATTATAAAAAAACTAACCAATAATTTTGTTCAAAAATCTTCAATTCGTGTGACAAGGATTTCTTGACATTTCAAACCATTTGAGTCAAATAGGCAAGAATGACGTCACATCAAACAAATTTGATCAAATTGTTGGACCGTGAGACAGGGCCTTAAGATGTATAACCGACTCATTATCAAGATTGATAAATTCGAAGTTTTGGCGGACACGCAGGTTTACCGACTCTTGATTGTTGAAATCGAAGTTTTTGGTGGATATGAAGAAGTATAGTACTCCACTCACATATAATGCAAAGTTACAGAGTAAACATAGTCGAAGTCGAAGTTTCTTGTTCTGCGCCTTGTGTGCGTTATAACCGCTTCGATGTCGTCTATGCAATTACATTACCTCGTTGATCCTAGCACTGGGACCAAAAGCCCCATAAGTCGAAACTTGTGCGGGGTTAGGTAAATATACAAACACAAACATCCATGGCCTAATTAGGATTCGAACCTATGTCTCGGTGGGAGTCCACGAACTCAGCGCATTCACGCTCTCGACCACCGAGCCGCCTTAATCTCATATGATCATTAGTAAATCAGCTACAAGAGAACCCCCGCATTTCGACCACTTTTCCCATGTAAATCTCCATAAGAAAAGTTAAGGTTCATTCTGGTCATTTTTGGCCACTTCAAGGTCATCCGGCTCCGACGGCGAGCAAAGCGAGAGATCCGTTCCAGACATAACGGTGCGCATTTCATTACATTTTTCACTCAATAATGACTATATACAGGGTGTATGAGTTGGCTAATAGTTGGGGAAAAAATAAATATATAGAGTGAACCCAAAAGGCGTTATACCTCCTCGACGAGTAGACTACCAGCATATAGGCTACCCGCTAGCTAATGATTCAATCTAATATATAGGGTGTTTGAGTTGGAAGAAATATATACAGGGCGTCTCATGAATAATTTATCACATTTTTAGTAGATTACAGCCAACGTATGACAGATGGCAGATAGCATATGATAGATGACATGTGACCTTCCGGTGCTCATCGAAACTAAACGCTCAATTTAAGTTTGATGGATACCACGTGACGCGCTCGGCAAGAGCAGAGGCCATCAAAATGGCTACCGGTTCGAGATGGCGCTAAAATGATGATACGTATGATTTGTTTTTTGTTTGGTTTTGTGGCTATATTGAAACAAAATGGCGATCGATTCGAAATAGTGCAGATATCATGCGAAACTTTTGGCCTATGATTCATTGCTTCACAGGTAAATTTCAAGTCGTATTTCCTTAGACTCTACTGAAATTACACGATGCACGGTGGAAAGCCCCATAAGAGCCCATGTAGAGTAGATCACATTATTCCCTAGATCTAGAGGTACTTTTTCGAATGTGAATAACAAAATGCATCAATAACAGGGTCGATATACAGGGTGTTTGAATAGCAATACAAACTTATATAGGTCACTTGTGGCAAAAAGTTAAAGGTGGACTCAGCGAAAGTTTGACAGATGACGCTAGTTGACGATTTCGATCATTATACAGGGTGTGTGGATAGTAATAAAACTAGATATATATATACAGGGAGGCAAGAACTGACAGGCGGACCCTGCGAACATATTAACGTATGACAAATGACTCGCTAGATTACGTTTAATATACGTATAACGTATGTCCCTACGGGGCGCTCAGTTAGCATGTAGCATAATATAACGCTCAATTAAAACTTATAAGGCTTAGGGACGTTGAAGGTTATGGACGGTCACTATAGGTATGAAGCCTCACCTTCAACCTCTCGGAGGAATGTAAAGAAATGTTGGAGAAATAATAGGCCTAGACTTATAGACAAATATCCATTATCCAACTTCCCTATATACTGGGCGGCATTGAAGTTAATGCAAATATTTAAATAGTGTATACTATCGAATGACACAAATAAAATCTAGATATCAAAATGAAATTTGGGGGTTATACCCCTTTTCAGCACTGTAGCAATTCTGGCGACGCCTCTGTGCGGAAGGTACAATCATGACATGACAATCATTCGAATTGTGGCATACTTGAATTTCTCTCTTTTTTTTGTTCAGTGGATGAAATTTTTCGTTGTCAGCGAGCAAAGCGAGAGATCCGTTCCAGAGACGGCATTTATGTGGAATAAAAGCCATACAGGGGCATTCAAGTTGAACTACCATAAAATATATAGGACGAATCATAATTCACGGAACAAAAAAATTATACGGCGTGAACTGCAAAATATACGGGGCAGCTTATAATCCATAGGCTGAAAAAATCATGTTTGAGTTGAATAGTAAAAAATATATAGAGCGGTTCATAATTCATGGATCGAAAAAATAATACAGTGTTGAACTGCAATAAAAATATACGATGTCGCTCTTCACGGAACAACATACAGAGTGCTCCATAATGCACTGAACAAAAATCAGGTGTTTGAGCTGCAAAAAAGGGGACTCCATTCCACTTTACCAACAAAAAATTCGATAGATGACAGCTCACGTATGACAAATGACAGCATAATAGGGTGTTGAATAGCAGTTAAGGTGAGCCCAGCAAACATATTAGATTGATAGATGTTATCAGGCTACTCGCTAGATAGCAAAATACGTGGTGTCGCGTAATCTTGCATCAAAGTGCGCTCAATACAAATCCAAATATTATTTAACAATTCCTGAGCCTGACTCAACCCAAATACGGGCTAGTGCCGCTAGCGGCTAAGGAAATATTGAAAAAACAGCCTGCGCAGAGATACTCTAGCACTCTATCAGCAAGATGCTCATATTTATTTCATAGCAAATGATTGGTATCTCAAGTCTGTGGGCCTTTCAGCCAAAACTCGCGATGCGAGATTCCATACACAACTTTTTGATTACTTGATGCATCTATATAGAAGACGTGTTCTACATGACTTGGTATCTATATAGGGAAAAATATAAAGCATTTAGAGAAGCACTTTTACCTTTCT